AGGAAGAGAATAAAATCTTGGGACGGCAAGGAAGCTGGGTAACAAGGAGTAATTCAGACAAAAGTATATATCTATACAGATTTACACTTACTATGTCATCACTTCTAAAAGCCAATAAGCATCGAGCAACTGACAGCATAAAGACACGATGGTTTTGAGAGGTGCAGTATTCGATTTGGACAACATGTGTAGTTGAGAGAATGATAAGATGGCCTCTGTTACACTTTCAAGGAAAGGGAGAAGGACAAGTTGCTTATAAACGAGTGCAGAAAGAGCGAGAGCTTACACAAGCAGAATAAATCGTATTGGATTTTTTTGACTTATGCTAGTATTGAGCAATTTATTGATTTTGAACTGTGGAACGAAATTGTGTATGCCAGGCTGATTTGGGAAAGCCAGCCAGTCCACCAGAAGCATGTGTTTCGTATGTTTGTACTAAATTTAGTATGCATAGCTCGCTGGGCAGGGGGCAGGACACTAGTGGAGGGTGTGAGTTCAAATGTGCAGCAAAATCTTCAATTGAAACAACCAGAGAAGGGACGCCAATTGTTGGAACTTCTTGGGATGTGAGGTAAAGAAGGTCTTCGAAGCTTCCAACTACAAAACATCGATAGCGGTATAAAATCGTGAATTGGCGAGGCCCTATGATATTCTTTTTTTTTTCCTACACCACCAGTACTTCCTAAGGTCGTGCCCGTTAACGAGCCATGATTTTAGAAAACATACGGGTCACTACAGGAGCGCCCAAATTCATCCAACTATAAATGTTTCTACTCTATTTCTTCCCACAGCGAATAGCTGGGCCGAGTACTGGTGGTTTAACTAAACTATATTCTTATCTCAATTTCACCTTTGCCAAGTACTGGTGGTTTAACTAAGCTATATTATTCTCTCATTTTCACTTTTCACTATCTACTACTCGATGGGGGGTGGGGGGAGTAGATGGGAGGTGCAGCTATTGGCAAAATGCTTGGTCTTTGTGTTAAGCAGTCCACCCTACCGGCGGCCCAACCGTGCTCCCTGAACACTGCCGATTAGGGCATGGAGGAACATGCATCCCCTTAATTGTGAGAGGTAGCTACGCTCGCAGGGGCCCTATAATACTTGAATACGCAAGACTTGCCACAGCCTTTCCACATATCAACCAGAAGGGCTACAGTTACCAGTACTTAGCACAGGGTTGGCAGTGATAAGGCAATCCCAAAAATGTCACGAAGAGCGAACTATGGATGTCGAGATTACCCCTCAACGGTTTTCTGCCGCGTGTTAGGTGATTTCGTTCTCAGGCACAGGTAAAAGCTGGATGTTGGCATTTGACAGGCAGGATTAGGGAGTATAGTAATATAGACTGGGTAGGAATGTTTTTGGTGCTATAGGGTTCGAAGTTGTTCGCGTTTTTGCTGCTCTTATGCTGCCTGGTGCCTTTCTGTTTTTGGGGGTCCTGATGAAGAAGTTTTTCGGCAGGGTTCTTGCCCGCTGTACGCCCATCTTCTCCGTTGTTGTGCATGTCTTGTGCCAGAGCAAGCCTCATGGGGCATCCGTGTTAGTAGAGTGGTATGGGACTGCATCTAGGTCCATGTTTGGGGATCAGCAAGGGGTTAACTTCGGGTGCGGACTGGCTGTTGTCTTTTCAATACCCACCCTTCCCAGGATGAGGCTTAGTCAAAATGCCTCGGGGTTTTCATCAGCACCCACCCGCTGGGAGACTTCAGACAAAGCGTCTAATACTAAACATTGTCATTTTTCAGTCTTGCCAATGTGCCGCCACCTAGTTCACCAAGGTGTGAAATCGCTGTGTGTGCATGGCTTGCCCGCTTCTTTTGGATGTCAATCACTCCAGTTTTATTATGTGAATATATACGTATAGAATGCTTTAAATTGCGTTTGGTATATAATATATAAATGGCATTCCTTTTGCCACCTCCTAGTTCACCATGGTGTGAAAATCAATGTGTGTGCTTTTGGTATAGAGCCCACGTGTTTTGGATGTCAATCACTGTAGTGTTGTTGTGTGAATATATATCATCAAACAGAGCTGCCCGGCAAACCGTAGGCAGAGAGGAGAAAGAGGACAACAGACAAGGGGCTTTGACAAACTGTTTCATCGAAGATTCACCAACTCGTCAGGGGGCTGAATCCTCTACAGTCTGCAGAATCCCCTAACTGATTACACTGTAAGTGATAATCCACCTTAACCCCGCCTGTGGGTAAGCAATGACGACTACATATAGCATATATATCATCATCATCATCATCATCATCATATCTTCTATTTGACGATATATATATCATCACAAACAGAACTGCCCGGTAAACCGTAGGCAGAGAGAGAGAAGAGGACAACAAACGAGGGGCTGTGACAAACTGTTTCGTCGGAGTTTCACCGACTCATCAGGAGGCTGAACCATATATATATATCGTCACAAACATATATATATATATATATATCGTCAAATAGAACTGCCTACGGTAAACCGTAGGCAGAGAGGGAGAAGAGGACAACAAACGAAGGGCAGTGACAAACTGTTTCGTCGGAGTTTCACCGACTCATCAGGAGGCTGAACCCTCAACAGTCTGTAGAATCCCCTCACTGATTACACTGTAAGTGATAATCCACCTTAACCAAAATCAAAGTAGACTATCACTCACCCACACCAGATGGAAAACTCTACAGACTGTCAGTTCACACCCCATCACAAGCCAGCAAAACACCCACGAAACAAAGAAAGGTCTGTCACAGCCAAAAAATACACTCCAGACACGCCRCTGGCACTAGAGGCACAGCATGGCCGCGTAGTGACGGCCCCGACCACTGCCGCTCGACCTGACCGGAGAAAACCGTAGCAGGAAGCTAGCGAAGTCGTAGTATATATCGTCAAATAGAACTGCCCGGTAAACCTTAGGCAGAGAGGGAGAAGAGGACAACAAACGAGGGGCAGTGACAAACTGTTTCGTATATACTTTCCTCTGGCAGAGAAGTTAAATTGTTTTTGAGCTCTCGGTATATGATCCCATGGGAAGGCATTTACTTTGCCCCAGAATTCAAAAAGTTTATAGCTGGGTTTTGAGTCTTTTGACCCACTGGCAGAATCACTTCACCCCAGAATAAGTTTTTTTTTGTTAATCCCCCCAGAGGGCCAGAGCTGTTTTGGGACCTCAGGCAACTCGACGACGTTAAACCACCAGCGCATGGCCCCAGCCTTTCTGAAAATGTGACTCTTTGCCTCCAAAATTTTCGGAGTCTCGGCCTACCGGGCCGCAATGGCTGGCGGCGCCAGCCAAAAAAGGAAGTGTGGCGCTGGCGGTTAGGAAAAGCTTGGTGCACAGTAAGGCGCCTCTACGCCTGGGTGTGCTGGCTGTTTAAACCACCAGTACTTCCGTTGCACTTTTCTCCAGGGTTGTCGGGAGCACGGTGTCCGCTAAAGAATCATTTCCACCCAGAATCTGCCAGCCTCTTGTTGTATATCACCTCAGACACTTCACCCTGGAGACCAAGCAGAGAACGCTCGTAGCTGGAGACTTAGCTGTCAATCGACTAACAAAAAGAGTCAAAAGACGGAAGCAAGAGGGTTTCAGCTCCAAAGTCCATCAAACCAATTCTAACAACTGAAAATGACTAACAGGAGGGAAAAAATGCTGGGCATAGCGTCTGGCTTGTCGGCGCTTAAACGAATTGACCACATTCTTCACTTTCTGCCACTTCCTGGTCTGGTACTCACCTTATTATGGCTTTGAAATAAACCAACAATTTTTACCCTGATCCTTAGGGACATACGTTTCCTGATCCTTAGGGACATACGTTAAAATTGGAACCATACAGAGAGACGATTAGCACGACTCCTGCGCAAGGACGAGGAAAAAAAAAAAAAAAAAAAAACAATTTCTACCCTGCTTCCCACCGTCAGCAACTTTGAAATGAATGAGACATTCTGGTGTTATTGTGATTATCAGATAAAAACAATTTCTACCCTGCTTCCCACCGTCAGCAACTTTGAAATGAATGAGACATTCTGGTGTTATTGTGATTATCAGATAAAAACAATTTCTACACTGCTTCCCACCGTCAGCAACTTTGAAATGAATGAGACATTCTGGTGTTATTGTGATTATCAGATTGTCAGTTTCTTTCAAGGCCCCAATAAAAAATCGCAATTCTTACCAGACCCCTGCATGCTGTTTACCGCGTCAACTGTGGAAAAGAAAAAAAAACAGACACAATCTGTGCCGGATATGCTGATGTCACGCTTGCCCATCACTACCTGTGAAATGAGTGAGCTCTCTTAGTTCTGATCTGGTCAGCTTAATGCTTGTCAAGTTGTACATGCAAAGCTCAAAGGCACTGCAAGCTATACTGCAGGGCAGAAGGGTTCAGGGTTCAGGGTTTTGACCAGAAGGATGCCAAAATGATGAAAATTGGGGTTGAGGATTTGACATGAAAATTGGGGCTCAGGGTTAGGATGCGGAAGTTATGAAAATTGGGGTTGAGGATTTGACATGAAAACTGGGGTTCAGGGTTTAGGGTTCAGGGTTCTGACCAGACGGATGCCGAAGTTATGAAAATTGGGGTTCAGGATTTGACACAAAAATTGGGGTTCAGGGTTCAGGGTTCAGGGTTCTGACCAGAAGGATGCCAAAGTTATGAAAATTCAGATTCACGCATTTCAACCGTATTTGACAGTGTTGAAGTACACGAGGGCTGACGGTTGAGGATTTGCGATTGACGACTCCGTGCTTGACTGCGTACATGACAGGTCGAAGGTTTGGGGCTTACACCGCTAGTACACGGCCCCAACCTTGAAGAAAGTTTTTGTCGCCACAAGCAAAACTGTAGTGGCCCGTACGTTTCCTAAACTCATGGCTTGTTCACAGGCACGACTTTAAGAAGTACTGGTGGTTTAAGGAGTTGCAGCCATTGCCAGCATTGATCGGTTGCTTTCACAAAGTGCAGCAAGCACTATAATTTTGAAATCGTCGTTCAGCTTATTTCAAGTACTTGCTACTTAGCTCATGCTCATTTATTATCGTGATTAACTTATCGTGATTAACTTTCCATCAACATTTATACAGCAGTTGGACAAGTGAAACATTCACAGCATGAGAGAAGCAAGACCTCCTTTTACCATGAAACTCCGGCAATGCTGGTTGGCCATCTGATCGGGAGGGCTCTCGCAGTGCTCCCATAGCTTTGCAACACCTACACAGATGCTAGTCAAGTTACACGAAAGTGAGACTGACACAACGCTAGCCAGCTCTTCGGTCCCGTCTTCAGTGTCCTGTCCTCTGCATGAGTGTAATAGTGGACCGGCGGAATGCTGCCGTCTCAGACCATTCACAGATAGGTTGGGCTCTGTGTGCTCAGAAAGCGATTAGATTGCCGATCAGAGCAGAGGACTCTTAACTGTCATCACAGCAAAGCGCACCAGGACACAGCAAAACAGAAGCGAGCCGAATATACTCAAGCAGGGAAGTAGAGCGCGGAGCTGATCACCCTACCCTCAACTACAAACAGACAGGCGGGCTCCATGATATGAGTAGAGCAGTTAATAGGAAAAAGGGTCCACTCTCACACAACGTCGGCCGCTCTCACACAACATCATCAGCTCCGACACAACGTCGGCATTCCAAGGATACCAGCGCCGGGGGGGGAGAGGGGGCGGGGGGGGGAAGGAGGGAGGGGGGTGTCAATATGGAAAAGAGCCGGTAGTCGCTAAGAAAAGAGAGCAGTGACAAGTCCATGTTCAAAGACCGGAGGGCAGCACTAACAAAGCAGTGTGACAAGAGAAAATTAGGAGGACCATTCAACGCCACGCCAAAGGAGAACATTGCAGAGTGATCAATCGGAGAAGCTTCTCCGTTTCCACTCGGAACAAACATTTTCACCTCTGTCACAATTCGATTACACTTATAATAGTTTATAGTACTTTATACATTGCTTCTGTTTGTTCCTATCTGCCAGTGTTACCAACTGCAGAAAGTTCTTTGAAATATATGCCTGCAGAGACAATGGGCAGCCATTGCTCCAGAGTCCAGGCCAATGGTGTGCAATTCTCATGTAACTCCCCCAGACATAATAAACTACATATGACAATTTTGAGGTCTCCTGCTAATCCCATATCCATCAAATTCCATTGCCTTTCCACCTATCAATGTATTCTCTCTCTCTCTCTCTCTCTCTCTCTCTCTCTCTCTCTCTCTCTCTCTCTCTCTCTCTCTCNCTCTCTCTCTCTCTCTCTCTCTCTCTCTCTCTCTCACACACACACACACACACACACACACACACACACACACACACACACACACACACAGAGTCTGTGAAATGAGCTTGAACCCGTTCGACAGTCCCCGCAGGATGGATTTGGGTGAAAGATAAGGACAAAAGACGTCGTGCAGAGTTCGCAATACCCCTGAGAAAAGTGGGCAAGTTGAACCACACAGACCCTGCAATGCTGGCAGACTGCCAATCCAAAGCCCTGACCGCTACCGCCTTCACCCGAACAGAACGCCTGGTCATTATAGCTGTATTTGGCACAACTTTCGGTCCAGACACAGCGATAACGACCGGGCGTTCTATTCAGGTGAAGACGGTAGTACAGCCTGACCCATAAAGGCCCATAAATCTTTCTGAGTGTGCATATGTGTGTTAGCGTTGTTAGGTGTCTCACAAACGACACATGACTGTGCCAGACTATTTTGATGGACTTTCACCGACTCGTCAGGAGGTTGAACCCCAGCAGACGGCGCAGGGCGCATTTGACTGATGGATTAGGACTCACCACGTCACTGAACTCATGCCAACCTACGTGGCTGGGATTGAGACTGTACTACCGCGTACGGACCCTACGTAGCCACACCAGTCCCCTATGTGTGTTGTCATGTTCACTATATACAAAACTCCACAGAAAAACGCATAACTATGCCAGACTGTTTCGTCAGACTTCCACCTACTCATCAAGATGCTGAACCTGGACAGCCCGTCTGCCCAGGATACATTCGACTGATGGATAAAAAGACTCACCACATCACCCAGAGTTCGCGATACCCATCCCTGAAAGAGAGAAAGTGGTCGGTCTTCTTCACCAATCCCACTCGTGGACTTCTAGCAGACTGTCGCTCCAAACCCCTGACAAGACAAGAATGGCAGTAAGCCTCTGAGAAACAACAGCTCGCATCGGCTACTACTCTATTCTACCCCCTTATAACCCTCCCGGCGCAAGCCGAACATCAGGTTAATCATCATCATAGTGTGGAACATTGAACAAGCCTGTTATTAGGATTTCGCTTTGCAGTCAGTATGCCCTGTCTATGGACAAGCGATGGCGCGGTCGGATCCAAAATTAAGGGTGATGTTTAGCTAGCTGTTGCAAGATGATCTGGTGTGCGACTGCTCACCACGCACTGCAGGTGGTTCACGTGAGAGTCTGTCATCTCTTCCTCATCCGGCAAGGATGGAGGTGGTCGTTGTGCGCGTCTTGTCATCTCTCTATACACAACTCCACGTAAAAAAAGCACGACTGTGTACACACACCTCCACAAAAAAAAGCACGACTGTGCCAGACTGTTTCGTCCGACTTTCCCCGAACCGACTCCTCCACGACAAAAAAAAAAAAAAAAAAAGGACGTTCAACCTGGACAGACAGTCTGCCCAGGATGCATCTGATTGATGAATAAGGAGGACTCCCCATGCTGCCCAGAGTTAGAGATACCCCTTTACTCACAAAAGTGGTCCCCTTTACTCACACCGACCGACCCTGTGCGGCATCCGCAGGAGTGTGCATGTGCATGTGCATGTGCCTGTGCATGTGCATGTGCATGTGCAAACGTGTATTTGATAATAATCAGCACCAGATATACCATTCGCGATCGTGTCCAGGAACAACAAAGAGATGAGATAATGGGGCACACAGCCATTTTCGACACAAAGCGCACGTGCACTTGACACGTGGGTGTGTTGTAAATTGTCCCCACAACAACCCCTTTTTCCACCCACATGAGTAGATACAAAACATTGGAGCAACTTCACCTCTATAGCAGACAACGAAACACACTACAGATGATCATATCCAACACTGAAACAGTTTTACCTCTATAGCAAACAACATGAAGCAGTGTCACCCTCCCAACGTTCAAGGGGTGGGTCCGACCCTGGGGCCCGCTAAACCCCCCTTGTCGTGGCCCTTTTTTTTTTTTTTTTTTTTACCCGATAGATTACTGCATAAAGCACCCACCTGTAAAAAATAAATTTTCGTTTAATTTTGTTCACCAGAGAAAAAAATAAAATCGAAGAAGTTAGGGTAGGTAAATAAACTCGGAACTGCCCCCAGATTTTGTCGTTTAGTTTTCTTTCTTCTTTTTTTTTGGTTCGTTGGTAATTGCTCGGAATCAATCAATCAATCAACCAATTCCGTTTCTTCTTTTTTTCTTGGCTCGTTTGAAGACGTTCAAAATCAATCAATCAAACAATCAATCAATCAATCAATCAATCGATCGATCAATCAAAGTTCACTGATTGATTGGTTTCGTTTTGTCTCTCTCTCTCTCTCTCTCTCTCTCTCTCTCTCTCTCTCTCTCTCTCTCTCTCTCTCTCTCTCTCTCTCTCTCTCTCTCCCCGTAGTTCATCATCATGATCATCATCACATCATCATCATCATCATCATCATCGCCGTGGTCGTCGTCCGCGTCATCCTCATCATCATCATCATCCGCATCGCCACCACCACCATTATCACTAGACAATTAACTTCGCATAAATCTTGACCTGCATTTCATCCAAATCCTCGTCATCATCACGATGTTTCAGCATACCATCATCATCATCATCATCGTCATCATCGTCGTCGTCGTCGTTATCATTTGCCTCCTCTGGCTTCCTCTCTTCTCATACTTCGCCCCCTCCTGCTGATGGCCGTTTACGATCTCATCCTTACGCGGCCAATCAATTCTCTCCTGCGTCCCGACCATCATAACACGTCGTCGCATTCAAATATATGGTTTTACTCATCAAATTCCATCATCTGGATTCGAACACAGGTCTGTATTTCAACAGTTCCTGCGTGTGGTCCCCACCGAGCTAGGATCTTGGGTGCTTTTTTCAATTTCCATTTCATTCATTTATGTTTTCCACGTCAGTCATCCGGACAGATGCGGCGCAGAGAACCGTTTTCTTTGTTTTCTTTTTTATTATTATTATTATATTATTTTTAGAGAACCGATTTCCACCTTTGCTTTTTCATTTTCTTTCCCAAAAAAAACAAAAAAAAAAGTTTTTTATTTTTTCAAAATTTTCCTGCCAGCGTGCAGATATCAGGCCAAAAAACACATCTAAAAAAAAATAGCAGCGTTTGCCCGGGGGATGACGAGAACCCGCCTCATATTCTGTCCGCGCATTTTCCACTGCGGTGGGAGTGAGGGCCTGGGTCGACTACACAACATTCCAAATGTATCTCGACAGGTTTTGGTCCAAAATCATTGAAAATGTAGCACCAGTACAAATGCATCGTCCAACAAGCTGTCCAGATAGATGTAGAATGTGGAATAAGGGAAAGAGGCCCCGACTGATTGCGATGGTATCATCCCGCCGCCGTCACGTCGCCTCGCCAGCACAAGATAGGTTTCCGGTTGCGATCCCGATTGCGACTCCGCCTGCGGTCCCGCTTGCGACTCCGCCTGAGGTCCCGATTACGACTCCGCCTGCGATCCCGATTGCGACTCCGCCTGCGGTCCCGATTGCGACTCCGCCTGCGGTCGCAACAACGACAAACAACGAGCTGGACCGCGGCAACAGAGCGCGCCACGAAAAGAGAGAAGCGGTGGTCGGTATGCCCAAGGGATCGCGATGGCGCACGGCAGAACCCGACCTCATTTAGGGCGCACGGCGGCCATCCTCCATAATGTAGGGATCGCGATGCCCGACCGCCAGGCCATGAAGACTCTGCCCCCCTTCGCAGCTCTTCGCGGGAACGGTCACACCTTTACCCGTCTTCACCCGAATAGAACGCCCGCGGTCACTACAGCCGTATTCGGTGCAACTTTCAGTCTAGGTACAGCGATAATGACCGGGCGTTGTATTCGGGTGAAGACGGGTTGGGCATCAGATCATCAGCAGCAGCACTTTCCACCCCCCCTAGAGAAAGAACTCCTCCGCGATATACTGTAATATCACTCGGACTTCCGTGGATTCATCGGCGCGTCAAAATCTTCCAGCAAAGCTGTGCTCGGCTCGAAACAGCCACATCATCAACGCCTGACCTTCGCCATCCTTTCAGCTCTCTAAGTATAATACTTAACACTCTCCCTCGTCAACAAAATTCAAACTAGATTTTTTAGCAATACACCTTTGTCGGCCTCTTGGCTAAAAATAGAGAAAGTGTAGTGTATCTGTTCTGATCATCAGTTTAATATCTGATCCGTGGTCAATCGGTCCACATCTATTTTGAAAAAGAAAGAAAAAAAAAGCAAAAGCAACAGCAACACAACTCCACGATAAATACGTCGTGCGAGGACCTGAACACAAGGTAAACACAGAGAGAGGGACAGAGAGAGACACACAGGGAAGTCGTCCTAACCAACTTCCGAGGCCCAAAGAGCGACTCGCGGACAAACACACATAGCGCACACATACAAATACAACCCCCCCTTATTCTGATTGCCCCCCCCCCTCCAAGCTCCAGGTGATCACTGTGCACTCATTGACTGGCCTCTACAACACCATGGACTCGGAAAAAAAAANCCCCCCCTCCTCTTTCTAATCCCCCGCCAGCTCCGAAAGATTATTCCTGGAATAAAGCTGTGTTGAATACCCCCCCTGCAACCCAAAAATATTGAACCCTCGAGCTCACTCCAAAAAAAGAGAAGAAAAAAAACGTAGGTCGGAAGGCTAGACAAGGAGGCGGGAGGACGGAGGGACGGAGGGACGGAGGGAGAATTCCAAGGGACTGCGATCTTCTATCTAAGACCCTCATTGCTGCCCACATACTGCCCTCGATGAGCAGAGCATGCATATATAGGTGTATGGGCCTCTCTCAACTACTCTCCAAATGTGCAATATGAGACTGAATCTTGCACTAGAACATGGGAAAATACACCGCCATATTTTCTGCCGTTTGTGCACGTGGAGCGAGGCCCTATATGTGACGTGAATGGAGATACACAGTTAGTTGCCTCGTTGCTTGTTAGTTGATTAGGTCGTTATTAGTGTCGACTTCGCTGGCTCCACCTTCACTCATTCGACAGCTTATAGCTTGCTCCCTCACTCTCTCATTCATCCATCAGCTTGCTCACTAACATGTTCGTCATCTGTAATAGAGTAAAATATTCTGAGTGAGGGTCACTCACTCATTCATCCATCAGCTGCTGAGTACACATCTCGACGACAATGTTGTTCCAACAGCTGTAAGCTGTCGGCCCTCACCGCGCGCGCGCGCACGCGCACGCCCACGCAAGCTGTTCAATCCAGCAGGGGTTGCCACGTCAGCGTTTCGCTAGCCTGTGGGTCATCGCCACACGGCAGACGAAACGGAAACGAAAACGAAACGAGTGCATCTGCCCACGAAAGGTGGCAAGGTACGCTCGATACTATTTATAGCAAGCCGATGAACCTGGCCATTGTCTGTGGGAGGATGCACTCGTTTCGTTTTTCGTGATCGTGTGCCGTGCGGCGACGATCTGTGTCACAGCTCACTCGCCGCCTGCATACACGTCAGTTGGTTTTCAGCACACACACAAATCGCTTGCTACCCGCAAATCAACGTCAGCTGTTTTTCAGCATGCAGCAGAGAATTACACGTCAGCTACATCACTTGCTACCCGCAAATCAACGTCAGCTGTTTTTCAGCAGGCAGCAGAGAATTACACGTCAGCTGTGTCTCCGCAGGCATATCGGCAGTTTCAGCAGGCAGCAGCGCATTGCACGTCAGCTGGTTCAGCACACACACATCACTTGCTAACCGCAAATCAACGTCAGTTGTCTCAGGCAGCAGCGAATTTACACGTCAGCTTCGCCGTGCCTGCCTCCACATCGCTCGCTCAGCACACCTACAAACCCGGATTTTCGTTCCTCCCCACGATGCAGCATTCTTGATCTACGATCGACGATCCAGACCCACCCACGTCAATGTTGCTGAACGTCCACGTCAGCGCCCCCTCTCGGCGTGCGTGCACGTCCCTTTAGAACGAACGCGCGCAGGCCCACAGTGCCCATCACTCAACGCGCTGGCTGTTAAACCAACAACTCCTTCACGGCCGCTGCTTAAAAGTGCACTTCCACGTCAAAACTCGCTGACTGCTTAAAAGCGCACTTGCACGTTGTTTTACCAACGGCCTTATTACGTAGTATTAGCTCAGTTGCTCCAAAGTGCTACCAAAGTGCTTAAGAGCGTGTGAAGAGCAATCTGACCATTGCTTACCTTTCTTCTTCAGTTGCTCCACCCCCCTAAACTGTTGAAATGAAATGGAGACGTGCGTTCGAATCCAGATGGGGGGGAACCAGATGAATCAAATTCCTGAATTGCCCACGGCCGGGCAGTTTCACTTTCACGACGATATCTCCAGGCAGTCCCCCTTTTGACAAAAAAAAAAAAAGATACAAAGCGCACTTCCTCGCCAACCCACTTACTAGTCCTAACGTTTCCACGTCACCCGTCAGCCCGCTGCTTACAAGCGCATTCCTCGCCAGGTTCATCGTTTTGCTATAAATAGTAACGAGTGCGCCCTTCCACATCACCCGTCACTCCGCTGCTTACAAGCGCTTTGTTGATTGCGTCTCTCTACTTGTGCCGCGGCCCACCGACCTCACTTAGCAAGTCAAGCCTCTGCTCACAAATTCAATTCCCCACACGTCAACAACCCCCCTACCTATGAGTGCATTCCTTTCTTTTTCTTTTTTTCTTTTTTTTTGGGGGGGGGGGGGGGGGGGGGGGGGGGAGTGAAAAACGAGTGCATTCCCGCGCGTCCAACCGCTTATAAGAAAAAACTTGAACAAGAAGAATTCATATCGACGTCAAATCAAATCAAATCGCTTAAACGTTGAAAGACACCGCATTTCCACGACGACCCACTCCCCCGCTCTTCCGCTTCAATTCGTTAGAGCTTACCTTCCGCGCGGACTTGATTGGCACGAGAACATGAATGTCCACGTCATCGTCTCTCCGTTTAACGTATCTCCACGTCAGCTTCTTGTAGAACGTCAGAGGCGACCACGTGGAGGTTGGAGGCCTCGTCCGTTCGTTCGTGCAAGTTAAGGCGCTTCATAAACGATGCCACAAGCTGCTCCCTAACCACGCTGGGATCCACCACCTCTCTCTCTGCGCACTCTACCTGCAGCGACGTCACTCCTTTGCCCTCCATTCCACAAGGGATAATGTGCTTGTAGAACTCAAGATTAGGGTTCACGTTGAAAGCGAGGCCGTGGGTCGTAATACCCCCCCTAGACACACGGATGCCTATGGCCCCAATCTTCCGATCACCTACCCAAACGCCGGTCATATGGGAGAGACGTCCACGTGCTTGCACGCCATACAAGGCTGCCACGTCGACCATTACGTCCTCTAGCGCTTCCACGTAAGCTCGAGGACCAAGCCGAAGTTCTCGGAGACTGATTATAGGGTAACAGACGATCTGACCAGGTCCGTGGAACGTGACTTCGCCGCCACGTGGCACCTTATGCACTTCGGCGCCCAGCTCACGCAGCTTCTCGTCGCTGACCAGGATGTGGTGCTCCGTCGGTCGTTTGCCCATAGTGTAAACAGGATGATGCTGCAGAGTCAGCAACGACTCTCCAATCAGCCCATCCCGCCTCCGATCGGCCAAAGCCTCCATCAACCTGATCATCGGCGCATAGCGCGTAAGCCCAAGACGTACTACACTCAGAGAGCGTACCATTGCACTCATCCCGATCCCGATCCCGATCCCGATCCCGGGATCCTGCTCCCTCTCCTCTGGACGTATCTCATATGCTTGAAACTACTCTACGACATGTTCACCTCTCTCTCTCTCTCTCTCTCTCTCTCTCTCTCTCTCTCTCTCTCTATCTATCTATATATATATATGTGAGTGTGTGTATGTATTCTTCCCCCTCTCTGCCTACAGTTTACCAGGCAGCTCTGTTGACGATATAAATCGTCAAACATAAATATATGTGTGTGTATATGTGTATATGTATATATATTGTCACAAGAGTATCAGAGGGCAAATGCGAACAAAAAGGAAAAAAGAAAGATAAAAAAAAATAAAAAATTATATATATATATATCGTCAAATAGAACTGCCCGGTAAACCGTAGGCAGAGAGGGAGAAGAGGACAACAAACGAGGGGCTGTGACAGCTGTGACAAACATATATATATATATATATATATGTTTGTGTTTGCGGTTAGTAAAAGGAATCGGTGACAGATACAAGGATGGAGGCGACCAACAGGATGGCGAGGGAAAGAGAGAGCGTGGGGGTGATAAACGTTCCCAAGACAAACCGACGGAGCAACCCGCAGAGTCAATCGCAACGACCGGTACGAGAAGTGTGCTGGAATTAACTCATCAAACTTGAACTTCGCTTTAAACCACAGCAAAAAGGGAAGTCGAAAAAACTATTCTAGTCCTTGATCCCGCCTTCTTTCCTCGGCGGTGGCACCATTACTGAGATTGGTAATGTTCGTCGAGATGAAGTTTCATTGACGTTCTCGTGAAATGCGAATGCACTTTTGTCATCCTATTGACATCACATCTTTACCTGTTGCTGGCGGACGAAAACGGCGAAAAACCAATCCTCATTTCCTACGCAAGATCTCCCGCCCTCAAAGAAGAAAGAACGAGACAATACTACACTTCCACCACTCGGCACTTAGCCAAAAAAATGACGATAACAGATTTGAATTTTGCTTCGGGACCCATGTTTCCTCCTCCTGTACGCAACGTCGTCTGTGAAATTCATGAACAATTACCCGACTCTCCCTCTCTCTCTCTCTCTCTCTCTCTCTCTCTCTCTCTCTCTCTCTCTCTCTGTGTGTTTGTGTGTGTATGTGTGTGTGTGTGTGTGTGCGTGTGTGCGTGCGTGTGTGCGTATCTGCCTGTGTGTGTGTGCCACGCAGCGCACACACGCACGCACACAATCACTCGGCAGCGCAACCAACAGATCAGGAAGCACGGACGCCTCTTTCACCCCCACAACCACACACATTCGTCTCCCGTTACCGTCCAAGTCAGGTCTTTTGAGGCTGATCCCCCTACTCTCAGGGCATATTCACCCTAGCACTTTCCTAAGTGTATTTTGAGGTCTTTTTCTTGTCTCTCTCAGGGCATATTCACCCTAGCACTTTCCTAAGTGTATTTTGAGGTCTTTTTCTTGTCTCTCCCTCTCCTTTCTCCTTCCCTCCTCTCACGTGTCCTTCCCGATCATGGCCCTCGCCGCATCACTCACCACATGTGCGAAATGAGACCTGGACTCCACATGATTTCGGAGGGAGTTTTGAGACAAAATGTTGATGAAGTTTTCCTATTATGTTGATAAAGTTTTCCGTAATAGGAATGGTGCCCGCCTAACATCCCGAAATGGAAAGTGGTGGTTTGTCCGAGTGACCATCCGTGGAGCATAGCAACCAGCAACGTCCGGTAGAGGACGACTTTGGGCGGTGGTTGGGCGACTGGTGGTCTACGAGGCCCTGCTGCCATCGTCGTTGGGGGTGGGTGGAGTCTGGGTTTGTGGCACCGGGAAGGGTACCGGCGGAGATCTTCTCGTCCGGCCTGTAGTCGAGACATTGGAAACCTTCGGGATGTACCACCCCCAACGTTCGTGAGTCGGCACAATATTGCGGCAGAAATCCCTCCCGTGAAACTTTTCCACACCGCAGACCATGTGGAAATGGAATTCGTTCCTTTTCCAGGCCACAAAGCGTGGTGTGTGGAGCCCCGCGGAAAACACAGAACCTTTCCACAACCTCTTCCGGGGCATGTGGGGTCCCGGAAACAATTCCGGGGCAAAACTTTTCCTTGCCGCATTCCTGTGGGGTCCAGGCATGAGAATGAACATCGAAACGTATGCCGGTCAGCAAGATCAGTAAGGCGGGGTGGTAACTCTGCGCTAACTACGCAAGTCACTGGGCCGGGTTGCACTACTCTCCATAGGCCAAGTTTGGAAAGTAGGCGCCTGGTTGCACTTAATAGCCAAACTTGGTGCGAGAAAACGTGTCAGAACTTTTGCCGAGTCTCCTTTTTTAATCCGCCTGGTTGCACTGCTCTCCATAGGCCAAGTTTGGCGGGTAGGCGCCTGGCTTCACTTACTCACCAAACTTGGTGCGAGGAAACGTGTCATAACTTTTGTCAAGTCTCCTTTTTCAATCCGCCACAGAGTCCGGCGAGTTCCCGACTCTCTACTGCTATGTTGTGGAGGGTCATCCTCCACAAAACAACTTCTTGGCGAGTGCAGTGCTTCACGAGTGGAGATCAGACAGACAAAAGTTCTAAACTTTTTTGTAGAACAAATATAGTGGCGAGTAAGTGCAACCAGGCCTCCAATTCGACACGATTCAAGTTTTTTCCACTCTCCACACATCCGCCACGAATTGTGGCAAATGGCGAGTAGTGCAACTAGGCCACTTGCCAGAGATGGTAGCGGCAACTCAATTTGACGAAGCGCTTCATTTTCACAGGGTCCTTCTTCAGTACCTCCGAGGATGTGGACTCTCGTGAGCCTGTTCTCAACATAGGATCCATTGCGCGTGTCGCCTGTGCAATAGTGGGACACAAAATAGTTTCTCCCCACCTCGAGGCGCCTTGCGATCGGTAAGGGGAATATATATATATATATATATATATATATACACAGAGTTACCAGCCTGTACGTACAGAGGCCATTGGGCAGACCTCCGTACGTTCGGGTGTTCGAGGTCTCGTTCGGGGTCTAAACCTGAAGGGGTTCAGCACCCACCAAAAATTATTGCGGTGCATAAAAATATTATTTTTCCTTTTTTTTTTTTTTTCTCTATAATGTTAGCTACATGCCTATGAATTTTCTAAGTCATTTTGCTAAGACAAAAAATATATATATATATATCCAAAGATGGAGCTGTCAAACGTGTTCGTCCACTCACAATTGTTTTTCTTTTACCTTTTACTTTTTGTTTTCACTTTATTTCGAGGCCTCGACAATTTTATTATTTTTTGAAACTATTTTCATAAGTTTTTAATTATCTAAAGGACACATATATAAATTTTCACGGCAGTTGGCTATGCCCAGAAAAATAACAAATTGCCGAAGATGGCGATGTCAAAAACGGACTTATGCATTCACTAATTTTTATTCTTTAATTTCCTAGGCTACCAAAGTGGTCCAGGTCCACTTGCCCGGCAAGGCCAAAAAGAAATAAAAAAATAAAAAATATTTTTTAATTAAATTTTTTATTTTAAATTTGATAAACAATTTTGACTTGACCATAAGGCAAAAGTTGTTCGGTTTATTTTTCTGCATAACATAGTTTTTTTTCAGATTTTTGGATTTGATTTTTTTTTTTTTTTTTAGCTGGGACCTTCCCTGGTGCTTGCACGGCCGGACCGCCCAGGAAAATAGGGTGACCCGGGCGGCCCGGCTGATATCCTTGTTAATTTCTCTTTTTATTTTTTATTATTTTTATTATTAGTATTTATTTTCCATATTTTATTTTTATTTCAAATTTGGTAAGGAATTTTGATGTAATGCTCAGACATATGTTGTTTATTTTATTTTTCTGTAAAACATATATTTTTTTTCAGATTCTTGTGATTTTTTTTTATTTTATTTTTTTGAGTCTGTGTTCGGCCCGAACGACCAAACGCATGCCCTAGGGGTCCCGTACGTTCGGGCGTTTGGCCACTCCCGAACGCCGGCCACCCTGCATATATATATATATATATACTCCTGATGAGTCGGTGAAACTCCGACGAAACAGTTTGTCACAGCCCCTCGTTTGTTGTCCTCTTCTCTCTCTCTGCCTAC